TGCCCGCAACCCAGGCACATGCCCTTGACCGGAATCTAACCCTGGACCCCTCAGTCCGCAGGCCGACGCTCTATCCACTGAGCCAAACCGTCTTCGGCTGGATGTTGGTATCTTTATCAATTGTTTTAATGCTTACATATTAGAGCTTTTTACCTGGAAAGATATTTCTGGGGAGAAATAGGGCAGGAAACCAAATGAAATTATACTACTGAAGAGTCTAAGTTTAGGAGAAAAAAATGCTGAAACATAAATTTGAAAACCCAAATATGTGCATAGCTTAATGTGGGGCAACATGCCTGCCCGTGGAAGGGGTGGGGCTGCAGGCCCAACTGCAGTTTGGGTACAGGCTGCAGATCACCTGGCAGCACTGTGCACTCGTTGCACAGAGATAGGTGGCTGAGTCCTCCAGTTGGGAGGCTGTGATGCTCAGGGTACTGTACAGGTCCTTAGTATTCAGTGTGGAGCTTAACCTTCCACTGTGCTTTGTCCCTGAAGTCATGTAAAATAGATTGATGAGGCCGCCACCAGGATTCTGTTGGAACCACTGCACATTGAACACTGAGGTAGAAAAATTGCACCTCAGAGTAGAGCTGGTTCCCTCCTGGAGGATCAGGATTGAAGGACTCTGCTCCACGTTCATCCCTGTCACCCCTGCTTGGAAAGAGAAAAACAAACACATATGAGGTCACTGGGGGTGATTGATGTAGTTTTCAAACCGGTACAGCATCCCAAGAAACACCAAAGTGGAGCTCTGTGTCAGCTCACCCTCCGCCCTCCTCCCCCCCGCCGGCCTCTTCTCTGTCAGCTGTGGACCACTCTCCAGCTCCCCATCTGGGACACCCGAACTCACAGCAAACCTGGGCCCACAGAAGCCCCAACAGAGCCCCCAGGTGTCTCTCCATGATGTCTTGCCAAGGTGCTGTGGTGCCTTTGCCCCTGCTCTGGAGGGAGTAGAGTCCTGGACCAAGGCAAATTTTGTGCCTGCACTCAGTATGTTTCACCAAACTCACTGAGGCCCAATCACATCTCAGCTCTGTCATTCATCTTAACAGCAAACTCCACCCACACTGGCCCAGTGAGATGGCACAGTCATCTCTCCAAAATGTGAATACAAATAGTGCAGGACTGTAGGAGTCAATGTTTCCAATAAATGAAGGTATAAGCTGGTGATTTCTCTTAAAACACATTATATAAGAGAAGTTTGTGGAATAGTGTATGAGGAAGGGTGGATATAGTTTCTAGATTATCATTGTTTCAATGGGTTCTGTAGAACCTTGAAGAATCCCAAAAAGAATGACCCAGTTCCTAAATTGCATAGTTTGACAGAGAACTTTTTGAATTCAGTTACATGAAAATTCTGATACAGGAAAACTACATGATAGCATGCATTGTGTATGGCAGAAGTAAATGAGTTTCTTGACATCAGGAGAGTTTTAGAAACCAAGACATATGGTCACCATCTGCAGAGAAAATAACTTCAACAAAATTTGCTTGATGAAAAATAGAATTTGTATATAATTTCCACTTTGACTTAATTTCCACCTCTCCCCCTCTCCTGTCCAACTCTTGGGCACGCTACTGACCCATATAGCTGATTCTGACCCAATCACATTTTGCTGGTCAAATTAAATATTGTCCTCTCTCTTTTCTTCTATTTTTGTTTCTTATTTTCCTTCTGTTTTCTTCTTTTCCATTTATTTTTGTTCCTTCTACTTTCACAGAGATAGATGAAAAGGTAGGTTATTTGGAATATGGGAATAATTTATGGCTCAGTAGATTTGGGAATTTTAGTCCTAACAATTATAAAACTGAAATGGGTTATGGCGATGTTTACTGTTGAGCTTCCATGCTCACAATGACCAGTAATATTCTTATTCCTGTACCTCTGCTCAGAGAATCATTCTCACAATGTATTTTTACAGTATTAACTCCAGCTTTCTGAAGTTTACATAGAGTGGCAGAGCCAAAAATCTGAGGTGAACTCTACACAAACACTGTTAACTATCTCCTCACTTTTGCTGCTATACTTTGACTTGTTCACATGCTATTGATCTCCTGACTTAACTGCTCAACCCTCAGAGCCATAGGAAAGTCATCTTTTGTTGAGCCTACCTTGCCCCCTAGTGGGCCAAAACCATGAATAAGGAGGACTTTAGAACAGCTAACTCAGCAGTCACACAACCCCAGCCCCATTCCCTCTGTTTACTGGTTAACTAAATGCAGATTGTTAGAAAACAAAGAGACTGCCAAGGCTGAATGGAGATTAAAATAAACAAATTCACCTACATGGTCTTATTAAGGAATGTTACCCCAACAAATAGAATAAAAAGGAGTCAAATTCTACTTTTAAAGTGTCATTTCATAAAAATAATTATCTTAAAATAATTTGATAAATCTCATCTTGTGCTATTTACTTGATTTATTTACCTTTGATTGCAGTAAATCCATAAAAATTTATTGAAGTTTTAGTGGAAATGAGGTAATTCACTAAGTCTTAAGAATATACAAAAGAGACATACTAATTTACAGGCTACTAGGGAAGACAAAAAGATACATAACTATAACACAACCAGAGTAGGAGCCTAAGAGGAGTGAAAACTAAAAGTTATATGATCCCAGAGGAAGAAAACTGCTTATACTTGGGGTGGTTGAACAAAATCTGAAGAAGATGTTATTTTCTTCTTTTCTCCTTTATTTGTGAGAAGAATAAAGAATATGAATAAACTTTTATAACAGCAATGACTATTAATTTCAACAATTGGAGGAATTTGTGAATATGAATTATTAAAAGTAATAAAACATTACATATAGACTAAAATCCCCTTTGAATATCACTCCAAATTCTCACTCTTCCATCACTTATTCCTCCAAATCTTTCTTGATCCTGATCAATTTGCAGTAGATGGTTTGGGGGTTTTGTTCTATAGGTTTAAATCAATAGAAAATATATAGTATAGTATTTAATTTATACTTTATCACAATGCAAATAGACATATTGTGCATACCTTTCTGTAACTGGTTTTATAAACTCAATAATAAGTTTAAGTCTTGTGTTAACACACATAGGTCCTTCTGCTGAATTATATCCCATACTATGGGTATACTACTGTCTCTACATAGTTCTTCTCCTATGAATAAACAGTTAATATGTTGGTTTCTTATCTATAAAATACAACACTACAGCAAACCTTTTTGAACATTTGTCTTCATTCACATGCACACATGTTTCTCTAGAAGCAAAGCCTAGGAAGAGTGAAGGAACAGCCTATGAGAATAGTAGGTGAAAATCACTCCAGGCAGAGGGAAGATCGGGGCAAAGGCTCTGATGGAGAATGGAATGAATACTGTTCTGATTATCATGCTGGATGTTTTTCTATTTTATTCTTCTTAATTTGCATTGGAACTATAATTTATGAGCTGATTTGATAAACTTTATCTGAAATTATTGTCCTATAATGCTGCTAGTATGTCATTTATTCACCAGCAACTGAGGTCATTCTATAGTAAGTCAGCAAGAGAAAAAGTCCTCTGAAGGACAAGGAGTGTGATATAGCAGGGGGAAATATTAAAGAATATCACACACACACACACACACACACACACACACAAATAATTTAAGGATACTGGAGAGAAAATATGTCACATTTTTCAAAGCAGCAGAGAGAAAAAAAATTTTCAGTGCAACAGAAGACAGATAAAAAGAAAAGAAAAAATACCAAGAGCATGTGGAGCAAAACCAAAATATTAGAAATAAGTCCAAATATATCAGTAATCAAAACATCTATAAAAAGCAATTATTTGATTGAATCAAACTTTTAAAATCTTGCTACATGTCACTTAAGAGAAAATCCTGAAAGAAAACAACCAAGAAAGCTGAGCACATAGGATGGGACTCTTCCTGCTGCCCTGAGCACAAAGACTGAAGCCCCACCCTCCCACCCACTGAATCCACACCCACCAAAGAGATACCCCAAAGAAGGTCAATGCTGCTGAAGGGACAGTCTAAGGGGCTCCAAGAGATCACCAAGTTAGGGAACTAAGTTAACTCCTACAAGGGAGGATCTAAGAAAAGAGACAGAGGTTCAAAAATTAATATTCAGATAGGAAGAAAAAAGGAAAACTGGCAGAGATGAAGCATTAAGGAGAAACTAAGATTTACAGAAAGGGATGAAACTAAAACTAAGATAATTCTATACCTTATATAGCAGAGCATAAGGAAGCCAACTGTTAATAACAACTTTTACATTTTTATCAGGGGTCCCTCAACCTTCATTCTTTTACAATACAGATTCTTTTATGAACTATTTCTAAACCCTCTAAAAACATATTAAAAGAAGATGGAAAACACTCATTACCAAAACTGTGTGTAGCCCCTAGCTGGTTTGGCTCAGTGGATAAAGTATCGGCCTGTGGACTGAAAGGTCTCAGGTTCTATTCTGGTCAAGGACACATGCTTGGGTTGTGGGCTTGATCCCCAGTAGCGGGTGTGCAGGAGGCAGCTGATCAAAGATTCTCTCTCATCATTGATGTTTCTAACTCTCTCTCCTTCTCCCTTCCTCTCTGAAATCAATAGAAAACATATTTTAAAAAACTGTGTAATAATTTTGTGCTCAAGGACTTAGTAAAAAATAGAATCAAGGCAGGCTTTAACTGTCTTGCTTATAAACCTCACACTTATTTATTAGGAGGGCCATTTTTAATATCCTATTATATTAACTGTATCATAAAAAGAAATGTAGAGCCATACCAATACATATAATATATATTAAACATTTAAATAATTTTGATTTCCAGGTTTTAGTGCATTATTTCCTAAATAAAAGCCTTCCTTTGTCTTAGATGTCCCTGTACATGTGGAAGTCTAATTATCCTAACAACTCTATTAATGTGCATACAATATTGGAAATTTGTATTAAATGTACTTTAAATTTGATATTTTATAATAAAATCCACCACAGTGGATCGAACAGTCACAGACACTCAGCAGCCAGGCTCCTTGTTCAGAGTTTGTGCTCAGCTCCCCCTGCAGTTTCTGTCACTGTGTCACCCAGTGCACAGTAGTACATTGCCGAATCTGACTGGTGGACGGAGGCTTTCTCCAAGTGGAAGGCATCTGGTTGTTTTTGGTATGTGGCTACAAATCCTTTGCTGCTTCCACTCTCGTTGACCATTGTGGCTGTCAGGAGGAGCTGTGGACCTTCTCCAGGATACTGAACATACCAGAAAAGAGCAGGGAACAGTATGGTCTCATAGGAGCAATTCACAGTCAGGGGAGCTCCTTCTGAGAGAGTCACTTGGCCTTTTGTCTGGGTCACCGAGTCTCCATGGATTCGTCCTGAGGAAAAATAAAAGAGAACTCTGTCACCTTGGGCATGAAGCTCTTCAACAAAATTAAAGTTAAAGAATTTGCTGACATAATAGAAGAAATAATCCATATTTTAAGAGGTGTGTTACTTACCAAGCACTAAGAGCACCACAGTCACTAAGCCCAGAGAAGAGTTCATCTCTACAGTATCATCTAAATAATGTTCTTGACTCTTAACATGAAGAAATGCTGAAGTCACAGTGAAATGATAAATATACCAGTAAGCCTGTATTTCACACAGGAAATGTGCTTGTGTTGGGAAGCTGCACCCCCTGGTGGACAGGGATTGAAATGTTTCTTAGGTTACCAACTGAATACCACAGTTCGCATCTGTGACACTGAGGCACAAGTCAGTTTTCAGCTGCGTTTAGAAATCTAAACAATGACTATCCGAAGCTCTCAGATCATTTTTGTTCTTAAGACAATACCTGACATGCAAGTACTTTAACAGCGCATGCAGGGTATTCCTGCAGTTGGAAGATAGCAATTTTGTTTGAGCATTTTAATACAGTACTATATATTCTCATGTACCTGTTGTGGGCGTGCCTAGAATCCACTGAATCAGAAAGGATTTGGGGTTGAAATTGGAGGAAGTAATACAAAGTCTTTATTGAGTGAGTCTTCACTTTTCAGTACTGTAACCCAATATAGAACAATGACTGACATTTATTACATGCCTACTAAATATTTGCTAAATTGAACTGAAATAAGCAGTCTTTCATTGAAAATTCACTACTACATCACATACAATATTTCCTCAGTCTTAAAATATAAAGAGTTGTAAGATATGCTTTCTTTTTAATATAAAATTTCAGGAGAAAAAAATCAAATGAATTTCAGAATCATTTTTTAAGTATGAATCCTAGACAGAAGAAACATCATAACTGAAGTTAGATCATCAATAAAGAGTGATCTCAGATCAATATCTTAATCTCCTACTGTTTTGTTCATTCCAAAATAAGATAACTAAGCAATGTGAGTCAGGCCAGAAGTACAAATCCTATAGTCTTAATGCAGATCTAGCATAAAAAAAGGCTTTCTACTTTGGAAATTAACCCCTAATCAGGTGTAACCTTGGTGAATATATTGTCCCCTACACTGGGTTCCCTTTGCATTTTGAGGGTGGTTTCTTATGCTGTGCAGAAGCTTTTTAACTTGATGTAGCTCCGTTTATTTTTCCCTTTGTTTCTCTTACCCTAGGAGATGCATCGACAAAACTTCTGCTATGTGAGATGTCTGCAGTTTTACTGCCTATGTTTTCTTCTAGGATTGTTATGGTTCTGTGTCTTACATTTAAGTCTTTTATCCATTTTGAGTTTATTCTTGTGTATAATATAAGTTGGTGATCTTTTTTCTTGTTTTTTTTTTGCATGTACCTGTCCAATTATCCCAACACCATTTATTGAGGAGACTGTCTTTATTATATGCTCTTGCCTCCTTTCACAAATATTAATTGATCATATTGGCGTGGGTCTATTTCTGGGGTCCCCGTTCTGTTCCATTGGTTTATATGCCTGTTCTAGTGCCAGTACCAGGCTGTTTTGATTACAAAAGCTTTGTAGTATAATTTGATATCCAGAATTGTGATCCCTCCAACTGTGAACTCATACAACTTAACAAAAGAAGAACAATCCAATTAAAAAATGTGCAACAGACCTGAATACATACTTCTTCAAAGAAGATATACAGATGACCAATAGACATAGGGAAAAAATGCTCAAAGTCACTGGTCATCAGAGAGATGTAAATTAAAACTACTATGAGGTATCACCTCACACCTGCCAGAATGGCTACCATCAACAAATCAACAGACAATAAGTGCTGATGAGGATGGAGGAAAAAGGGAGCCCTAGTGCACTGCTGGTGGGAATGCAGACTGGTGCAGCCACTGTGGAAAACAGTATGGAGTTTCCTCAAAAAATTAAAAATGGAACTGCCATTTGACCAGGGATCCCACTTCTGGGAATATAATCTAAGAAAACAGAAACACCAATCAGAAAGAATATATGCACCCCTATGTTCATAGTAGCATTATTTACAATAGCTAAAATCTGGAAACAGTCCAAGTGCCCATTAGTGGATGAGTAGATAAAAAAAGTTGTGATACATTTACACCATGGAATACTATGGGGCTATAAAAAAAGGATTTTGACCTTTTGTGACAGCATGGATGGAGCTGGTGAATATTATGCTGAATGAAATAAGCCAGTCAGAGAAAGACTAATATCACATGATCTCACTTATATCTGGAGTCTACTGAGCATAATAAAATGACTAACAAAACAGGCCCAGAAACTTGGATTCATGGAACAGGCTGACATATCTCTGAGGGGGGGTGGGGGGCAGGGAGATGGGAAGAGAATAACCAAAGAACTTTTGTACATCTATGCATAACCAACAGACACAGACAATAGTGTGGGGAAGGCCTGGGGTGAGGCGGGGGCTCAGAGGAGGGAATTGGAGGACATCTGTAATACTCTCAACAATAAAAAATAAAATAAAATTTTAAAAATGCTTTCTACAACCATCTATCTGCCACATTCTGTGGACTTTCACTTTCATCAAATAATGTTCGCCCACAGATAGACCAGGAGCTGAGGATTTGTATCAATAGCCTGTAGCATAAGTTAGAACTCTCTTCTTCATCAGCTATCAAATTGTGGGAGATATACCAGCTGATATTCATCCAACAGCTGATAATAGAATCAATGTGTGAGTGATTTAAAATGACAGATTCTGGGATCTCCACAATAACTGCATGAAACTTTTCCAGGACTGAGACCCACTAATGTGAACATTTTAAAGCTCCCGTGGGTGGTTTTGTTGCAGCCAGCCTGATACCTATTTATAAGATTTCATTTGTGGTAACTGTCCTAGACCAAGGTGGTTCTCAAAGACCAGAGAAAGCTCTGGGATCAGCATGAGGAAATGTCCCTGTGACTACACGAGTTTTTTAAAACTAGTCATTTTTGCCCGGCCAGTGTGGCTCAGTTGGTTTACCTTGCCCCATGCACCAGGAGGTTCAATCCCCCAGTCAGGACACATGCCCAGGTTACGGGCTCGATCCCCCGTAGGAGGCATGCAGGAGGCAGCCAATCAATATTTTTTCTTCATATATGTTTCTATTTCTCCTTATTTCTTCCTCTCTCTCTGAAATCAATAAAAACATATTTTAAACAAATAAATAAACTAGTCATTTTTATGAAGTGCCAGCAGCAAAAGCAAGCACTGTTTTAGTTCTCTATTTATGACCATTCATTTTATAAAACAAAACAAAAAACCTCTGAGGGTTATTAGGAAAAAGTTCTAGAGAAAGCCACACCTTCTGCAAGGCCCTGCAAACATTTACCTGTAGACATGTAGATGGAAGCTTAGTTCAAGCTGTTTCCTGGAATTCTCTCTACACAGATTCAGATCAAGGGACTTCATGAGTCGTCTGAGTGAACATGTGACTAGTCTCCCAGATGTGGACTTAAGCAATTCAGGCCCATCCCTGCCTGGTAATCAGTTGGTTAGAGCATCCTCCTGATAAAATATGGTTGCAGATCCCATCCTTGTCAAGGCACATACAAGGATTAACCAATGAATGCATAAATTATTGAAACATCAAATTGATCTCTCTCTCTCTCTCTCTCTCTCTCTCTCTCTCTCACACACACACACACACACACACACACACACACACACACACACATCAATCATTAATCAATAAATCAATTTTTAAAAAGAAATTCAGACCCAGATACATAAATTCTTCTCCACCTTCTAAGATATAATGTCAGAACCTGCCACAAAATTCATTGAAAGGAATTTGAAAAAGCAGCCACAAACTTCTATTCCAATATACAAGGAGAAAAACAAAATAAGTTGAGAAGATGTTGGGTTGAAAAAAACAGCACAGCATATGGGTATAGAAAGTTGTTATGTATACTTTAAAAAACATATTTTAAAGCAAATGAGAACCTATAGGAGATTTATTTTGCATTTGGTGTCACACAAGAAAACTTAAACATTATTAAGGGGAGATATATGTTACATTTTTATTTTAACGGCTTTTTAAATGCATGATTTTCATAAAAACAAATTGCACCTATTTAATGTAAACAATTTTATAAGATTATTCATTTCTAGATACTAGTGGATCCATTACCACAATCAAGATAATGAACATACGCATCTCCCCCAAAGGTTCCCCATGTCTCTTTGTAATCCTTCCCTCAACCTTGTTCCTGTTTTCAGGCAACATCTCTGTCACATTTTAGTTTGCATATTTTATAATTTTGTATAAATGGAATTATTTGTACTCTTTTGTCTGGCTTCTTTCTCTCAGCATAATTATTTTGAAATTCTTCCATGGTCTCATGAGTAGCAACGTTTAATTCCATTTTGTTGCTGAGTAGTAAGTATTCCATCATCTACACTAATAATAGCCTAGGGCCATCACGACCAGGACAGATGACTGAACAGTGGGCTCCTGGCCAACGAGGCACACAGGTGGGAAGGGCCTGTGGGCTTTGGGCCTCTGGGTCATGGCAGCGGTGAGAATGGTCTGTGAGCCCGGGGCCTTCGAGGTGCATTGGTGGTGAGAAGTGTCTTTAACCCTGGGCCACCGAGGCACGGAGGCAAGAAGGGTCTATGGGCCCCTGGCTGCCAGGGTGCAGGAGAACTCTGGGTCTCATGCTTTCAGGGGTGTGGCCGGCCTTCAAACTGGACAGTGACAAGAGGGAGGAGGGAGCCCCATTCCTCACAGAATCCACTCTTGGGAGGAGGGAGTCTGCATGCCTGATCGCCCCTAACCACTCTGCCTGCCTACCTGCCCAAGTGTTCCCGGATTGCGAGAAGGTGCAGGCCAGGCTAAGGGAACCCCCTCCCCATGCACGAATTTCATGCACTGGGCCTCTAGTATAAAGATAAAACAATTTGTTTGTTTATTCACCTATTGATTTACATTTTCATTAGCCCCTATTTGGGGTTGTTACAAATAAAGCTACTATGAACATTTGTGTATACAATTATTTTAAAACATATGCTTTCATTTCTCTGTGGTCAATACCTGAGTGTGGAATGACTAGATCATATGATAGGTGTACATTTGACTTTGTTTAACTTGTTTGTTTTAGTACCATTTTTGTAGATACCATTAGATTTTCTACTGGACAATTATGATGTCTGTGA